CCATGGCTAACAGAAGCAGACACATCTCCTCTCTGCAAGGCCTCTGTTGATGGGGGTTTTCCCTCAACCCACCTCCCAGCTGAGGGCAGGTGGCCCCGGAAACTACAATCATTAACCAGCCTATTATCTCCTTGTTCTTTCTTCTCGGTGATTTTTATCACAGTCTCGTATTTCCCTCTTCAATCTGTTTTGCCCTGAACCTTAGCAGCAGCACCTCCATTTGTGTGTGTCTCTCTCTCGCTCTCTTTCTCCCCAGACATGATTTAAAGCAACTAAGCAACAATCCTCACTCTTTAGGTCGATCCTAAGTATCGATTTTCTGTACTGCTTATAACAGAGAGGGACTCTCCAAAGCAGCTTTCCAAATCCGCACTCCACTTATGTCAGTGACCTGAGAACAGGGTTGTTTCTGTCCTGTTTAAGAGCCATGAAAGCTTGAGCTCCTCACAGACTCCCCAAGGAGCAGGAAGTTGTAAAAAGTAAAATGCCTGCAAAAAGTTTATCAAAACTACTGTACTGGTTTTGGCTGGGCTAGAGTTAACTTTCTTTAATAACAGCTCGTACGGTGCTGTGTTTCAGATTTGTGACCAAAACAGTGCTGATAACACAGGGATGTTTTCGTTACCGCTGAGCAGTGCTGACACACAGTCAAGGCCTTTTCTGCTCCTCACCCCACCCCACCAGTGAGCAGGCTGGGGGGGCACAAGAAGCTGGGAGGGGACACGGCCGGGACAGCTGACCCAAGGGATATTCCACACCGTATGACGTCGTGCTCAGCATATAACGCTGGGGGAAGAAGGAGGAAGGGGGGGACATTCGGAGTGATGGCACTTGTCTAAGTCACCGTTACGCATGATGGAGCCCTGCTGTCCTGGAGATGGCTGAACACCTGCCTGCCCATGGGGAGGAGTGAATGAATTCCTTGTTTTGCTTTGCTTGTGTGTGCGGCTTTTGCTTTACCTATTAAACTAACTGTATCTCAACCCACCAGTTTTCGCACTTTTACTCTTCCGACTCTCTGTCCCATGCTGCTGGTAGGGTGAGCGAGCAGCTGGGGGGGCTCAGCTGCCCACCGGGGCTAACCCACAACAGCTGACCTACGTATTTTACTCTTTCAATCTCTGCTTCCCTCCCAATTTACATTTCTACCTAACATTGCTACAGTGCACAGACTCGTACACTGCTTACGTGCATCACAACTTAATCTAAACCTTGAAGCTCTCAGTTTGAGAAGTATCAGCTACCTCCTGCACTGTATCTACTACAATGTCAGTTGAGTCACTTCATGACTCAAACGGAAAAGCACACAGGCCTGGCAGATGTGGATAATTCCTTCCCTACCCAACACACCTCCAGGGTCTTCTGTTGAAAAAATCCACGTCGTTAGTAATGTGCATACAGTGTATTTTGGCCTCGCTTTCATGTGCTGCAATATCTAAAGACGGGGAAACACCACTGTCCTCTGTTTTGCCCTTATTCTGAAACTCTGACCCTACCATGGAACACGGAAGTCCAAAACCTTTGCAGTAAGTTTGGGTTCGATGCCCCACGCAACCTTAATTCAGCTGTTTTATGTATACGCGCTGTGATAAATTAATATTTCTCAATCAATATTTCTGTAAGATGACTGCTTGACTCAGAACGGACGTGCAAACAGCTCTTCCAGAAACAGTCAAAAAAAGCTGATTTCTAAAACTCTGAAATCAACCCACAAGTCATGAGCACCTCCTGTGCAAGGTAACTACAAAAACTACCATTAACACAGTCTGCCCTTCAAGCAGAGCTCAAAGCTGCCATCCAGCACTTAGTTTAACTAACAGGAAGTCCACTTCACCTTATATTCCTAAAAGCCTGGGATATGTGTTTAAGGGTAAAAAAGCACATGTGTAAGAGGCATGAAAAGACACACAAGATGCTGTACGCTACATGTGAAGAGTGGAGTGGGGATTCCTGCCCAAGAGACAACCCCAGCAGTGCCCTGCAGGCATGGGTGGGAAGCCAGAGGAAGCTTGCTGCCCCCACAGAAACCCCCCTCCCTTTGGGATGGTCACGGGGACCTGCCTTCCCCAACTGCTGCCAAGCTGGCATGGAGAAGCTGAGGATGCACAGGACGAGCTCTGCCGCACTTCGCCTTGCTCCGTAAGCCCAGCAGAGCCAACCTCCAACCCCAGCCCGCCGGCTGACGCGGAGCAGAGAGGATCAGGACTGACCGCGTGCGTAGGCACTCCCGGAGCTACGTTTCCCCTGCGGCACATGTTTATTTGAACCCCCCAGCTCCAAGCTGTATTGCATCGAGAGAGGAGCTCCAGGAGACGCCCGGGAGCCCGTAGCCATCTGGCCGCCAGCCGTGGCGGAGCTCTCCCAGCAGGCCACCGCACAGACAGCACATCCTGACAGGGATGTAATTACCAACCTGGCGCGCAGAGAGCTGTTCCTCCTCGCCGTTTGACCTCCCTTTCCTCCCTTCACACACATGTGCCCTCCTGAAAGCTCCCCTCAGCGTGGCTGGCCGGGCCCCAGCTCCACCAGCACCCTGCCCAGCCGCCCCAGCTAAGCAAACACTGGTGGGAGTGGGAGGCCCCAGAGCCAGAGAGGGGATGTGCCTGGGAGAAGCCCCACACTCCTCCACCTCTGCATTAAATTAAGTTACCAGCATTAAATAAACATGCCTGGCCTCTTTGAACTTCTGCTTCCCTTGAACATGAGCTCATTTCACAAGGCCTCTTTTCGCTCAGCCCCAGGAAGCCATCAGTCTCGATGGAGTTAACTCTTCGCAGGACTTCTCAGCTCCCCCAAGCATCTCACCCTGCCAGTACCCATTGGCTCAGGGCAAGACGGTCAGTCCGGTATGTGAGCAGAGCCCAGTATAACCACAGATAGCACTGACCTCCTGCACGTCTCCCCAGGTCTCCCTGATTTAAGGGGAATTCCCACCAGGAAAGAGAACCTCCCTGACTCCACCACATGGTCCTGCAGGCTCCAGGCTGGCACACAGGGAAGCTTTATTGGAGATGAAGGGAAGGGGGATCCCTCTGCAGTGAAGCCCCCTCCAACTCTGCCAAGAGCAGCACTCTCAGGTCCTGGGAGGACTGTGCTCAACCTTTCTCCAAAGCAGGGCTGAGGAGTGAAGGAACAAGAGAGGTATTTAATTACAGACGAGGAAAGTTCCCAGCACTCCCTTCCTTTGATTTAATCCCACAAAGTGGAAATTGGGAAGTCTGGGGCAGGAAAGGGAGGGGGTAGCCACAGAGAGGAAAGTAAAATACCACAGAGACAAGGCTGATCCCAACTCCACGGCATTTTTGCATGGCTCATGCAACCTCTGCCAATCCCTGCTCTTGCCCCAGTACTTGAAAAACAAGGCAAAGGGAGCAGAAGTCTGCCTGAGAGCAAGGGCTGCCTCTGCCTGGGAGTGGGGAGATACGACTTCTGGGGTTCACTATTTTTGTACATGAGCAGGAACTGCAGAGTTGCTGCCAATGGAGCCAATGTGAGAGGTAGAGCCCGTCACTGCTGCCTGTCAAGGGGGGAAGCAAATGCTTCTCAAGATGGCTCCAAGTTACCACGGTGTCGGCCCCATGACGGGGCATTATTTCTGGATGCTCTGCTTGCTCACAGCTTCAGCCCCTGGCACAGGGAGGCTGGAGGGGAACAGAGCTGCCTGCACGGGGTGCCATGGGTCAGACAGAGGTTCCCACTTCTCCTGGGAAGGTGGCTTCCACCTTGCCCCTGAAACCTTCCACCCCCAGTTTACTGCCAGAAAAGCTCCCACCCAACACAAACATGTCTTTAGCCATTCGTGCAGTACCTGAGAAGCACCTTGGAGATGCTGGGCAAGAGCCCCTGACTCCAGGGCACTGCTGGAGAGGTCAGCCACCGGCCAGGAGGTCCCCAGCAGCTCTGTGGAGCCTGCAGGGCGGCAGCGGGCAGGACGCAAACAAACAGCAGGAAGCGAGGGGGAGGCTGGGAACATCAAGGCTGAATGCAGAAATCCAAGATAAACAGCGAGAGTGCCTTTCAGTTCCCAACCATAACAGAAATCATCTCCATCCAAGGGGAGCCCACAGCCTGGCTTGCACACAGGCCAAGCGAGACAACCTCAGGCAATCCACCCCAACACCAGCTTTGCAGCATGCGGGACAGAAATGGCTCACATCAAGGGATGGCAAGAGAGCACCAGCCTGACGGGTTAGCACAAGCTGACCCTGGATTTTCAAGAGGAACAGTCTCATCAGAGAAATGCCTCTCCTAAGTAATCCTTCAGCTCCAGTAGAGAGGTTGCTCTCCTGCTTCTCATTTCATTGACAGGTGTGTGCTGGACTTGCCAGCCAGCAAATGCCAGAGGGACGTGCGTGAGGACAGCTCCCCTGGTCCTAAACACAACGGCAATGCTAGCAAGCTAGAGACACATCTGAAAATCTCAACAGCCAATGCTCGGACCTTTGCAAGGCAGCAAGTTCCCCAATACCATTCCTAATCAACAATCATGGCTCAAGGAACAAGGCAGGTACGACCTCATTCAGACCTGCTTTTTCCATGTTCACAGCAGAGATCACAGCATAAGGCAGAGCAAGATAACTGTCAGAAGTACAAACAGGCGCAGTCCTGCAACTTAATAGTTCTCATTGTTCCCCTATATCCACAGATAGCCCAGTCCCCCTGTGAAAAAGTCCCTAGGAATGTGTGTTCCAGAGACACAGGAAAGACTCCAAGGAAATTCCTGAAGAGGAGCAGATCTCAGCAATGTTGTCCAGCACCACCATCTCTCCAGAGAGCCATCATCCTGCCCATCTTTACAGATGGCTGTTCCTTAGCACCTTGATGCCAGGCTGTTACACTGCTAGTAGGTATGATCATCTGTACCTTTACCACGCATGAAGCTGCAGTAAGAAAGCCAGACAGGGCACCCAGATGTCCTTGCTGCTAGCCTCTGCCTGTTTTGCTGCTCTTTGAGAGCTGAATGGAGAAGGAAGACAGCTAAGCAACAACATGGGCCTTACCTTTTGTTCCAGGGGGCTGCAGATTATCTCCAGTCAGCGAGCACCAGCCTACGGGAAAGATGTCCCGGGAATCATATCGGCACCAGTAATCGAAGGCACCTCTCCAGCCATCAAATGTTATGAGGACCTCAGAACCTCTCACCTCCCCAATGGTGGCCGGGCAGATGAAGTGAGGGTTCTTCCTGTCCACTGCCTCCAGCTTCATACCTGTCTTGAAGAAGTTTTGGGATGGAGATGGTGGTTCCTACAAGGAGAAGTTGAAAATGTACTCAAAGAGGATATGCCAGTGCCTCCCCAGACTAGGGCTGTCCCCTCCATCAGCAAACTCACCTCCACAAGCAAATGAAGAAGGGAGCTAGTGGGCTGGATTTGAACCCCAACTAGGTGTGCACACGCTGGCCTAGCTACACAACCACGTGCCCTTTAAGTCAAGAGGCAACAAAGTCCACTACTGGCTGCTCTGCATCACCTGGCTGCTGGACCAAATCCAGACAGTGCTACTGCACCCTGTCACAAGTCTGTCATGCAACACAGGCAGAAAATAAAGCTCCAAAGAAAAGAGCCTCCATAGGATACTCTCACCTTGTTATCTCAGAGCAGGAAAACCTGAGAAATGACAGTCTCTCTCCATCATTCTTCCCCCCTCTTCAGCTTTGCTAGACATGTAAGAGATCCACCATCCATCCTCATCTGGGGCTTACTCGTCCTAGTCTTTTATACTTCAGATACACTAAAGCCACACCAACCATCCCATACCACAGCACAACTCCTCTAGACTGGGTTTTGTCTCTCTCTGACTTCACTCAGGGTATGAGAATACAAACTACGAAATCATACTTGCAGTGTTGCCTCACAACAACATTTGCACTCCTTGCAAGCTCTGTTACATTAAAAAGTTTCAGAGAGGTGCTTTCACATATTGCATTCCTGACTTTGAGTAGCACCTGCAGCCCAAGTGAAAAACAAACACACCTCTCAAGCCCAAGCATTGAAGCCCAAGCCACTTTCTTAGTAGACCTCTGTTTGCATCTCGACACTGCTACAACACAGCAGCAGAGGGTATGGATCTGCCCTAGAGAAGCAGCACCGTGGCAGAGCTGGGCAATGTTCATCTCCTCTGGGATCAGCAGATCTCACACGAGACACCAGCTGTAATTTTTGTGCTCTGCAGTATAGGGGACATGCCAGAAGGATGTCTTCACAAACAGTACAGTAAAATACCTTGTGAAAAATCCGGACAGGAGCCATCTCTGCTCCATTCAGAGTCTTCAGAAGGAACATGGGCCAAGAGGAGGCATTCAGCCGAAAGCCTGCAGAGAAGGAAGCAGAGATAGAGATAGAGACTTTAAGGCTGTGGTCGTCACTGGATCCAGCAGCACGACTGCTCTGATGGGAACTTTGCAGCAGGCACACATTGTGATCCCACACCACCCTCCTCCTCATGCTGGAGAGTCAGGTTTGAACTTTTCCAGATACTCTGAATGCAAAACATTATGTTGTTGAAAAGAAACATCTGGAAATGGATGTTTGACTGCAATATTCACTTATCATAACAAAAGTCTGTACATTGACCATACAGGCAGGGCACTTTGTGCAGCGCTAGTGCTGGCAGCTTCAGTGATCCTACTGCAGGGGAGACATGAATCAGCAAGTGTGCACTCAGGCTATGGAATTTCTTCCTCAATAGGGAATCTCAGCTTTTGGGTGGCCTCCTCCACCTTTTAGAGTGAGCTGCAGGCAAGCTAACCTGAAGAAATAAAGAGCCTGTGACTTGGCTGGGAAACAGATTTAACCATTACAGGAAAGGATGGCAGTTTTTGGCTTGACATCTTCTGTGAAAAAAAGTAGAGAAATAACAGGAAGGGGCTCATGGGAACAAAAAAGCAAATTCACATGCTCTGAGTCTATGGCACTGAGTACGACTGCACAACCAACAGAAGTCTCCAGATATCACAAAACACCATCTTTGCTAAATGTGCATCTTCCTGTACAGGCAATTTCTGCTGCTCAGCTGAACATGGCATTGCACTTTCTGTATTTGTGGTGTTTTGAAGGTAACCCTGGGACTGGACCTAGACGGAGAGCATCCCATGATGATTAACATGGCAAAGTTTTGCCAGGGCCGAAATGCCAGAACTCAACCAGCTCAGTACAGGCCACCCTGCCAGCCCTGCAACCTTGTCAAAGCAGCCTGGAAACCGAACAAGCCAGCCACAAACCTCAGGGGATGAGAGCGCCAAGCTCCCAGAGGGGCAAAGATAACCTTTTACCTGAATTATCTATGTAAAGAAGGGGAGCAGCAGCAGATGCATACAAATGGAAAATGCTACAAGGAGCACAGAAAATCACTGCCGTGTTTTCTGGGCCCTTGCACTCTGCAGGCAGAAAAGACAACTGCAGAACCAGCTTTCTGTTACCTGTCTTTATGCTGGGTGCAAGAGAACCACTCTTGTCTGGCCCAAGGTTAAGCAGGCCATACAGATCAGAGCTGGGCACAGAGACTTCTTCCAGACTACGAACCCTCTCCTCTGGCACTGTCAGAAATGAGTTTTGCTCTGCAACTCGATTACATTTATTGCCATCTGCTGGCAAAACCCAGACAAGGCACAGGAGGAACCCATCTCTGCCAGCAAGGACAGGTACCCGCGCCTCCTGGGCAGGCTGCACCGGAGCTATGAGCTGAACCCTGGGACCAGGGTTTCAAAGAGATATCTGCAAATGGACCGCAGCATGCATGAAAGTAACGTAAAAAATGGCAGCTTTAATGTTAATAGCTGCAGCAGGTTTTGTCTGTAGCAATTATGAAGGGAAAGGGTATAATTAGACTTGCATACACACAGCTTCGTGTGGTGTGATGTGCCAAAACATGCACCTGCTGATGTTTCTTCCTTCTTCAGAAAGATCAGTCCCAAGTGTCCCATTGCAATTTAGACTGTACTTCCACCAAAGCTCACAAATGGTGCTCCAGGAAAAAACATGAATAAAAATATTCCTAACTCAAGGTACCCTATTGAAGGTTTCTTGCACCACTATAGATCAGCTTGATATTATTTGGAGATGTGCTAATTGAGAGATTTATGAAGACACTTCAAAAATAATGGTCAGCAGAATGCAAAAGCAGGTTAATCTTGCTGCTTAATCAGGAAAGAACCAGCAAATCAGCTCATCATTTGGCCAGTGTCAAAAAAAAAGATGTGTTTAACTGAAGACAAGACTGGAAGAAGTGTTCGACTGCCCAGGTTATTTATAAAGCCCTAGCCAAGCAAAATTAAATAAATAAACAGATGAAATATCGCAAGCATCCCTTCACACGAGACAGGACTTAAATCACTGGGAACCTTTTCAGACATTATGTTTCCCCATCAGATGGCCTCCAGCTAACCTGCTATTGCCCCAAAGACACTTGGGCACAAATACACTTAGACAGCACGAATGAAAATTTAAATGCTTTTGAAATCACAGTGTCAGGATTAGCAGTGATACAGCAGATGCCTCAGCCCTAATTGCTCTCTTGGTTATTCTCTACATCAAGATTTACAGATCCCCAGCAAAGCACCTCCACCGAGTACCAGTACTGTGCTCAGCTTGAAGGGGGAGCGCAGGGGAAAGCACTGATGGATGGCAGCCATTTCATGTCAAGCACACCTTTGAGATGACAGTGCTTGCAAGCAGGATCAGAAGCCTTAAGCAATGGGCAATGCCCAGAGATCGAGCCATTGCTACAGCTATATGCCAGCACTGCCTGTGTGACTGTGTGGTGTCTCCCAGATAAAAAGAACCTGGATTCGTTCTGTCCTTGTACAGGCAATCACCCAGGAAAGGCCATCACAGTTGCTCTGCCTTCAATGCTACCGCCCACAATCCTGGGTCACCAGGACTTTGGGGTGCCCCTCGTTTGCTTGTGTGTCCTCTGGGAAACGGAGTGGCTCTGGCATTCTTTCATGCAAATGGGTGGAAAGCATGTTTTTCCTTTGAGGTACACAGGCAGAATTTCAGAATGCATGGGAGCATGGTCAGCACATGCTAATCCTGAGCTTGGGCTGCAGAGTGCAAGCAGCTCACCTAGGTGCAAAGAGCGCTTTCATCTACACTCTAAAGCATCTCCCTATCCATGCCACGATGTCCACGTGGAAATACAGACCTGGTGTGGGATACATCTGTTTAACAGCCCAAGCTAACAGGGCTGGTCTACACCACAGTGGTAGGCAGGGGCAGTCCATGGGCCTCCGTCCCAAGCACAGAAGTATGAAAAACCCTGCGGTTTTCCCCGCAGATAATGTAGGTGCTTGCTGGACGGTTGAACTTCAGCTCACCCAGTGGAGGCTGCAGCATCCCTCCATTCTTCTCACAGTTTCCTATGGGCTGGATTTCAGCAGAGTCCACCAGCCGCCAGAAGTCATTCTTGTTATCGCTGCCATCGAGGCGCAGGCGGAGGCGTGCCCCTGTCAGACCCACCACCGTGGCAATGCAAGTGGAGGTGGTGTTCCTGGGGTCCTGGGCTTCTAGTTTCATACTGATCTTGAATTCATTTGCAGGTGGAGTGTATGACTGCAAAGAAAAGAACAGGGACCCAGTTAGAGACAGGATTTCCAATATATGCACCACCTCAGTCATAAAGCTTAAGCCCTAACAGCATCAAAACTGATTCTGCCAAAGACTGTCAGCATCCTCCAAAGCACAGCATGGGAGCAGACACCACAGAGCAGCAAAGAAAGTTCAGCCAGCCCTGGCAGATCTGTGACCCAGACCACTGTCTTTCGGTACTGCATCATCCAGACAACAAGACCTACCCTTTCCTCTTAGCCCTCTTCTCAGGAGAATCACCCACCCAAGACCCAAACAGATATTCCTCTGCGCTGCTGCCCCTCTGTCTGGATCCAGGGGTGCCAGGCCAGTTTGTTCCTGTATTCCCTGTACTCAACATTATCACCTCTGTGCTCAAGTACCCAATGTCTGGGGGAGTGCTATTCAATTCACAAAGACCTGGTGAATTCTGAATAAAATCTCCTTGCTGCACGGGATCCACCAAAACCTGGATCACAGCCAACTCAGAACATTTTCTCCAAGACCCTGTGCTCAGCAGAGAGAAAAAGCATTCTCGTGTTCCCATTCGTGCACATCTGAGAGTTAAGTCTTCTACAAACAAATGGGATTTGCAGTGCCTGAACATATCTTCTTTATCTTTGCTTCAGCAAACTTACATTTCTATTAAGTCTCCGATATCCTTAAGCATCTTCCTTGCCAAAAAAGGGGCCTATTCAAGGCACGGAACTCCTGGGTCACCAACGGACCACCGCCCTCGGCCTTTCTTGTTTTCATTCACCCTCTTACCTGCTTGAAGCAATGGGCAGGAGCTGGGATGGCACATGTCTCTTTCAGGTATTTCTCCCAGGTGAAGTGACCTGAGAAGAGAAAACAAAAGGATTCAAATAGGAACTGATGAGCAAAAATCGCAGAAAAAGAGATGGCTGGATCCTAACGCCGGCAGTTCTCCACTTCTCACAGAGGAGGTGCTCACAGGCAACACGTTTTCACCAAGATCCTCTGATGTTTGTGATCACAGAAGATTTACAACTGCAGCTGACAGGCAGAATAAAGCACAGTGCTGCCTACGGCATCTTACTGCCTCTGCGTTGCTGAGGAGGGTCTGCAAAAGTGAGGATAACAACCTACAACTTAATATAAAATACCCAGCACAGATGGGAATCCGTGGAGTCTTCCAGAGAACTGCCCCTTAAAAATCATTCATTAAACACATTGCTCAGTCTGGGGATTAAGAACAGTCCCAGAACCTTTGCACTGTGCTGACCTTACGGTTCCCCTGGTCCAGCATGCACAGCCTGCCCTGCAAGCCAGCGGCTCGGAGCAGGTATCAGCCCATCCCCAGCAATTAGTGGACAGGTCAGCAGTTAATTTCCTGAAGCGGACATGGAGTCCATAGCTTGGGCAGGATGGAAGCAGGGATCCTCCAAACGGGGATTTACTGAACAAAGCGGCTCATATCCAACACCAAAGCCCCTTCCACTGAGTGCTGCTGCTGGCGGAAGCGCATTTAATCCTTGCCTGCACCTTTCCCATGTACAGCAGGAAGGGTAAAAGCAATATGCCATCCAGGGAAACCTGTTATTAAATGAGGAATTAAAAGCTCACGTGATCCGAGCAAATCATGACTTTTGCCATTTAAACTGAGCAGCTGGGAAAGGATCCTTCCAGCATGACATTAGCTTGTATTCATCTGAATGGCTCCCAGGAGACCACTGTTTTCAAGTCACTTCAAGAGCATTGGTGGCAGCACAATTAAAGAGTCAGCTACCGCTTCCCCTATTCACGTCAAGTTTTTAATCAGTCTATTTTCAAAACAAAAGCTACATTAAGAGCCATTTTAGCTACTGCAGTGCACACCACACCTCTAAAAATTCAGGCATTAAGGTCAGCACACATTAGTTTAGTTCTGCATCACGTGCACAGAGAAGCCTTAAGGGCTCGATAATCCACTAGCTTCAAATAAATAAAAAAAATGCTGCTTTCTTGCCACCTCCCATGCAGATGACTAGCACACTGTTAAATACAGTGGAAATGAACAGAAAAAAAATACAGTTTCGCTGCCACACTGGCTGAATATATTTCTGTTTACAGAATCTGACAGCAGCTCTCCATTCCTCAGAGTACGCCTTTCCATCCATTGGCACGTATTTTCTTTTCAGCCAACGGTCTCACATGGAGGTGAATGAAGCAATTCAGTGATTCACTGCAACGATGCTCTCAAAAAAACAAAATTCTTTTGCTTTAATTGAAGATATGATTTTACACTCGGTTACGTCAATGAAACTCTTTGTATGAATAATGTGTAATAAATACCCAACCAAAGCAAACCCAGGCATGAAATGCCTTGCTGCATCCCACCCCTTAATTCTGATTGCTGATCTGGGCTCATCTCAGACTGGGGTGGCCCTTCAGAGGTCCTTGTCCATGGAGCACAGAGGATGCCTGTGGCAACAGCACCGGGGCGAGGAGTGTGAGACTCAGCCCCAGGGCCTGAGCAACCATCTTGAAAAGGATCAGCTGCGCTTGACAATTTCATTTTAAAAAAGAAACCTACCCTCCCCTGAGCTGGTTTCAATCCCTCGCTATTAAAAGTAGCCATGGTTTTAATCCTTCCACTTTTCACTCACTCTGAACCAAGCGAGGCCATTCTGCTCCCTGCAGCAGCTCACACCACAGTCGAGATCGACGCCGCACAATCCCAGCAGAATAGTAAATTTCTGAGACAGCTGTGTGCCTCTAAAAATAGTGTTTGGACATGGAACTTATTTGAGATTAATTCTAGACCCTGTTGGGACCCAACCGCCATATGAAGACACACACACAACACCCGAACTGCAGCTACTTACGACTCACAGTTCTGGTGACTTATTTTGCAAAGAAAAGCAGGAACAGCAGAAAGACTTCTCTAAACTCTAAGGAAAGACAGAGCTGATACAGCAGAGTTAAGCCTTCCTTCCTTCTCTGTTCACTATCAGCCATTTCTTTACATAAAGATGGCATGACAATCACAATTAAGGACTGCACCTCTTTTTCAGGATTACTCTCAAACCAGGACAGAAACTACATACTGAAATTGGAGGCTGCCACCATTGCCTCAGTGCAAGAGGAAGCCCTCCACAGAATGTAGGGAATGGTTTTAAATGAATTCAGTAATAGTATTTAGCTCACGATACAATGTTTTTGAAGCAGGACTTTCAAAGTACACTTAAACTTAACTGAATACTATCAGCTTCAACCTAAAAACTGCAGGAAGAATCAGAAGAAAATGGCATTTACACAAAAGTTAGGGGTTTTTTACAACAAAGGGAGAGCTGCCAATAAAACAGAAAAAAGCAGGAGGCACTTAAGGCTTTTTTAATTGGGGAGTAGAGAACAAGCCCTGAGCTCTGTACTTGAGAAAGAGCGTGTATGGTTGAAGATGGATACATCACACTTGGCCCTCTCAACCTTAGCTCCTCTGGACCGTACCCAAATCCTGCTTGCCAGACTGATCCCCACTCACTTCCAACGCTCAGCTCCAAACAGATCTGCTCTGGAGCCTCCACGCCAGGCATGCTGCCGGCCAGGATGCCAAAGCTGCCGGGTGCCGGCTGATGCCATTTTACAGGCTCGCTGTGTACAGAGGTTATAAGGCCAGAGGGAAACATTGAGAATATCTTGCTTAGCTTTCTCATTAGCACAGACTGACTATCTTGTATTTTATATTCTCTCAATATTCTTATTCATATTAATAAACTGGATGCCTTACTGTAGAGGGACAGGACATTTTAGTCTGCAAGATGCTTGTTTCTTATCTGGCCTGGGCAGGTAACACTGGAGAATGATTTCTGAGTGTTGGTCAAAAAACCCTGGTGGCTTTTCCCCAATTCCCAGTGAATCACTGTGTTTCATGAAAAACCAGCACTTCAGCCAGTCCTAAAGTGTCCCTTTCACTGGTAATGGAGCAGGAGTGTCCAAGGACAGAGCTGACTGTAGGGACTGAAATCCTCTCTCACCCCGAAAAGCAAAGGGGAACGCTTGCTCCACTGCTGCCCCCAGCTTCCAGTACAACATGCAAAATGTCCTAACAGCCCTGAAATCACCCCCTATTTTGCCTGGTCTCTGCCTTTTGTCCCCCCCCAGCCTTGCAGAGCACACCATACTCCCACAGACTGGAAGGATCATTGTTTGAACGGACCACGTTCCTCCATATAACTTCTTTACAGGAAGAAATGAGAGAATGACACAATGAGAAACACCACATTTTTATAATTACATCTGTGAGCTAAACAAAAGCCAAGGATTGTAAACCTATACGACTCCCTGTAACTTGGCTGTGAAAATGCCTACTAAGGGTGACTGTCTATCACTTTTGCTTGCCTTTGGAAAGCTCCTTACCGTGCGCTTGTGCCAAAGGGAGATATTATTTGCAGGCAGAATGTCAGATTTGGGCTCTGATGTCTTAACCTTCAAAAATATTTACTACAAACAAAACACTCCACACGCCCAAGGGGTCAAACTACAGTAGTTGTGAACAATGCAACTCTGCACCCTTGTGTTTGGATTCTCATCATGTTGCATTTAACGTTGATCTTTCGCCCAGAATTTAAATGAAGACGGAGTTTCTGTTTATATCTTTAACCAAAGTCTGGTTTGGGCTTCATTTGCATTTCAGCTCCCGAGGGGTCATCAATCCAACTGAAACGATACATGTGCGTTTCAGGTCACATCTGTGAAGGAGAACGTGCCCTACCCAGATCAAGGCATCCCATTAAAGTCTGCAGCCCATATGTGTGTCTGCTAATGAGCATCAAGGCAGCACATGAAAGCAGCACGGTTTGAGCCAACTCAGTATGAAAATTAGCAGAGTATCATCTCTGCTCGCAGATCCAAAGGCGACGGTGGCCTTCCCCGATGTCTGGGCGCAGCCTCCCAAGGGGTCAGCTCTCCCACCACGACGGCAGAGCTCCTGCACGTCCTACCCATTAAAATTTCCAGGCACTTTGCTCAGCCTTCAATCCGGCTGCACATTCCCCATTGGTAACAGCTACAACTGATAACGTGATCCTGCTTACTCACTGTCTTGCTCAGAAGAAACTCGAGAATGTGCAAGCCAAAACTAATAGGTTTCAAACACCAGCATGCTGTCTGCTTTGCTTCTTCTCAGAGGTGTCTCAATTCAGTATTAGCTTTGAGCAGAAATCCTTTCAGCCTGGACTACGGGGTGCTCCGTGCCAGAAAGCTGCCGCTGTTTCACCCCCCTCGCTGTGTACCCCAGCGTCGGGCAATGATGAGCTGCTCAGAGTTTCCTGCAGGGAGGCAATCCCCGATCCCTGCTGCTACACCATGCTCTTGCTGAGCAGACACGCGCATATCTGCAGTGTTTCCTCCCTAGGTCAGCAAGCCCTGGGATGCAGTGAGGCGCGGAGGTTGGTGTGCTGGGTTACCATGAGCGCTGATGGGAAAGCAAGCCTCTGAATTTCACAGAAAGCTCCATTTCAGATCAGCGTTGTCACTGAACAACAGCCAGTCCCCTGACATCTGCAAACGGTGCAGCGTGTGGAGCAGAGGGGAAACTGCAATGGAGCCCCCAACACCCCGAAGGCAGACTATACACAGGCCATGTGAGCTGTGATGGTGCCCCGTGGAGCTCAGCACAGGGTGACAGAGGACCCAGGACTTTATCGGAGGTGCTAATAAACTTCCTCCCCTTGGAGAAGGTCCTTCTCAAACTGTGGTCTGCAGTACTTCAGTATAAGGGTAGAAAAGGACAGACAAAATTCCCCAAGAGAGAACGGCGAGGGCTGATGGTGGCCCACAGTCCAACGTGCCTGAGAACCACCACCCTGAGTCTCACCTCGGGGCCCAGGACAACCAAGCCCCTGAAGCACAGCAGCCACTACATCTCTCCCGGGGGCTCTAAGAAAGACAGGTGAGCCTTTCACAAAGGCAAACACATGTTTCCTGGTAGAAATGGCTTAACTCAGCCAATTGTTTAGTTTCTTGTTGCTCTGTACTTGGTGGGAAGTATGGACATCACCTTAATATAGGGACATGGGGAATATAAGGATGTAAGGACATCATTATACTCTAGAAGTAAAATACGGGCCCCAAAATCTTTTACTAAATTATACAAGCTTTACATAAACTTCTTAAAGTTGGAAGTCCCCTGCATATCCCCCAAGAGATAGCAGGAGCTGCCAGTTTTATGAACTCAACCTGCAGGCGCTGTGCACAGGGCCACAGCCTGCCCTGCCCATGCACGGGACACCTCATCTCCAAAGGGAGCGAGAAGCCCATGACTCCTGTGCCGCTACTGCCACCCCTTGCCCCGTGCTCCGCCAAGCCAGCTGGCA